AGAATGAAGGTCCCCAGCTGCCAGGGAGACCCCAGCAGGCAGGCCCCAGGCTCACCGGTTCTTGCCCGTCTCGTCCTGGAAGATTTGGTCGCAGTACGCCATCATGCGCTCAGTGAAGGTGTACACCTGCAGGCCGGGGTACATCCGGGTGAGCTGCAGCAGCGTGCGGTAGGTGCGGCCGCCGAGCACCCGGTCCATGTGCCTGCCCTGGCCCCACACCACGTAGAGCGTGTCTCGGGCCTTCTGGAAGTAGTGTGAGTAGTTGCGCAGCAGTAGCGGCACGCTTGTGTGTGAGATGACACGCAGGGTACTGCGCTGGCCCACGTCCGCCTCAAAGCCCACGGTGGGCGCCTGGTTCATGCGGAACACGCACTCGGCACCGTCGATCTCAGCACCCAGGCCTGAGCCCAGCATCTGGCCCGAGCTGGACACCACAGCACAGCTGCGGCAGGGCTCGCGGACCAGCGGCTGCAGGGCAGGTAGGGAGAAAGAGACAGAGAGGCATGAGCGTGCAGCTTACACCCCCTGCGCCTCCCCCAGGAATATCCACCAACCTTATTTGATCAGGTATTGGCTCGAAGCACTGTTATTAACCCATTTTGCAGGCTGGGCAGCAGGGATGACTTTCCCAGATCACAGTGATATCCAGTGTCAGAGCTAAGGTTCTGCACTCAGCCCCCCAACTTCCTCATCAGCCATATTTGTGATCCTCATTCCTGTGGCTGCCTCTGAGGCCCTAACTGTTTCTACATAATAAGTTCTTATGAGGTTTGCTTGAGCAAATATTTATAAAACACTTAGAACAGTGGCTGGCACAGACTGGAGGTCATACAAGTATTTGTGAAGTAAACATGAATCTCAGTTCTTCACAATCATTCTTAGGCCACCCCCTCCCCTGTGCATGCCTCACCCACACTGTGCCCAGTTTCCAAGTAAAAGCAGGGTCGTCAGTGCCCAGGACAACTGTGGGACTCCCTGGTCCTGAGCCTGAATCCTGGCTCTGCCCCCTCCTAGCTATGTGGCCTGAGGCCAAGTCACTGGCCTCTGTGAGCCTCAAGTCTCTCATCTGTAAAATGGGGAAGAAAACATCTGGGCCGGGAGCCGTGGCTCACACCTGTAATCCCAGCACTTTGGAAGGCCGAGGTGGGTGGATTACCTGAGGTCAGGAGTTCGAGACCAGCCTGGCCAACATAGTGAAACCCCATCTCTACCAAAAACACGAAAATTAGCTGGGCGTGGTAGCACACTCCTGTAATCCCAGCTACTCAGGAGGCTGAGGCAGGAGAATCCCTTGAATCTGGCAGGCGGAGGTTACAGTGAGCCGAGATCGTGCCACTGCACTCCAGCCTGTTGATAGAGTGAGATCCTGTCTAAAATAAATAAACAAATAAAAATATAAATAGAAAAGAAAAAGAAAAAGAAAACATCTGGCCGGGCATGGTAATCCTGTAATCCCAGCACTCTGGGAGGCTGAGGTGGGTGGATCGCTTGAGATCAGGAGTTCAAGACCTGCCTAGCCAACATGGTGAAACCCCATCTCTAAAAATTAGCCAGGTGTGGTGGCACACGCCTGTAGTCCCAGGGCAGGGCTAGGGCAGGCACATGGACCGGGTGCTCGGCGGCCGCACCTACCGCACACTGCTGCAGCTCACCCGGATGTACCCCGGCCTGCAGGTGTACACCTTCACTGAGCGCATGAGGGCCTACTGTGACCAGATCTTCCAGGACGAGACGGGCAAGAACCGGTGAGCTATTCGGGAGGCTGAAGCATGAGAATCACTTGAACCCGAGACGTGGAGGCTGCAGTGAGCTGAGATCGCATTACTGCACTCCAGCCTGGGTGACAGAGTGAGACTCTCTCTCTCTCTCAAACAAACAAACAAACAAAAAATAATTTCTTGGCTGGGCACGGTGGCTCGCCTGTAATCCCAGCACTTTGAAAGGCCAAGGTAGGCAGATCACCTGAGGTTGGGAGTTCGAGACCAGCCTGACCAACATGGAGAAACCCCATCTCTACTAAAAATACAAAATTAGCCAGGTGTGGTGGCGCATGCCTGTAATCCCAGCTACTCGGGAGGTTAAGGCAGGAAAATCACTTGAACCCGGGAGGCGGAGGTTGCAGTGAGCCAAGATCGCGCCATTGCACTCCAGCCTGGGCAACAAGAGCAGAACTCCATCTCAAAAAAAAAAAAAAAAAAAAAATTCTTCTTAGAACCTAAGGCTCAGAGCCGAGATCGCACCACTGCACTCCAGCCTGGGCAACAGAACAAGACTCTGTCTCAAAAAAAAAAAAAGAAAAAAAAAAAAGAACCTAGGGCTCAGAGAGGTGACATGATTGGCCAGGATCACATGGCTGATGAGCAGAGGGGCCAAGTTCAAGGTCCAGTTTGGGACAAGCCCAGCTGTCACTACCCACCCCAGATGCATTGCCTGGCCCACTTACCTTCCCATCCGGCACACTGCTATATCCACTGAAGTGCAAGGGGCCCGGCACGGTGGGCCTGGAGTCTGTGGAGAAGTGGTGGTCCAGGCAGGTGGCCAGGCAGAGGGGCAGGCCGGCCCAGCAGCACAGGAGGATGTAGACGGCAGAGAAGACCACAGAGCACAGGATGATGAGCACGAGCCGTCCCTGAGGGAGACAGTGGCCATGGGCAGGTGTATGTGGGGAGGGGCTCCCAGAAGCCCCTTCAGCGCTGCACCTGGCCTCCTGGGTCTAGAGCAGCTCCTAGAACAGCAGCAGAATCCGGTCTCCACCCATTGGGCCTTACCCAGGGATGCCAAGTTCTGGGCACATAAGGCCCTGGAGATACCACTGTCATTATCCCCACCTTCTAGATAAGGAAAGCAATTTGGGGTGAAGTGAGTAGTACAAGGCTATATAGCAAAGAAGCACCACAGTGGGGCCTTAAATACAGGCTGGAAAGCCCATATTCCTAACTGGAGGCTGGGGTGTACTGTGTGAGCTGTGGCTCTCCATCCCTCTGGGCCTGTTTCCTCCTCTACAAACTGGAGACTGATAACGTCTACCGTGTGAACTTACGGGAGGGGCAGTGAAAGCGTTCTGTATACTGCAAAGTGCTGTGCACATGACAACGGGAAAGTGGTGCCTCAGAAGGGTCACCAGCCCCTTCAGCCTAGGACCAGGGCTGCCTAGTGTGGCCCTGCCTCCGCCCCACCCCCAGCTGACTCAGTGGCCGTCTGATGATCAGCAGGCCAGGTGGCACAAGGAGATTGGAGCAAATGTCATTTAGGAAATGGCTTTAATAATTGAAAAGCTGGGCCGGGCGCGGTGGCTCAAGCCTGTAATCCCAGCACTTTGGGAGGCCGAGACGGGCGGATCACGAGGTCAGGAGATCAAGACCATCCTGGCTGACACGGTGAAACCCCGTCTCTACTAAAAAATACAAAAAAACTAGCCGGGCGAGGTGGCGGGCACCTGTAGTCCCAGCTACTCGGGAGGCTGAGGCAGGAGAATGGCATGAACCCGGGAGGCGGAGCTTGCCGTGAGCTGAGATCACGCCACTGCACTCCAGACTGGGCAGCAGAGCGAGACTCTGTCTCAAAAAAAAAAATAATAATAATAATTGAAAAGCTGGTGCCTGGAGGCTCCTGCCTCCAGAAACCATGTTCCAAACGCTGTTGGAACCAGGAAGCTCTTCTAGCCATCCGGGCTAGGCCCAGCCTGGGGCTGCCCTCCTGGCAGACTTAGTGAATGCCTCCACCACCACCAAGCCTCCCAGGAGGGGAGGGGCTTGGTGGCAGCAGAACTGTAGGCTAGTCACTGGGTAGCAGTCCACCCTGGTCACCACCTGTGTCTCTCTGGGCTCCAGTTTTCTAGACTCGAGGCACAAGTCCCTAGGCCACCCTTCAGAAGCCACCGAGCCGTTGGCTGGTGCTCTCTGAAAATCAGAAGTGGGCAAGTCGCCCCCACCCCCCACCCCATCATCCTCACCCACCCCGGCGCATCCTGCCCGAGGCCCACCATTTTCTGCCCGCAAGCTATGTCGGCTTCTAAAAATAAGTCTTTTCTGTGTGGCCAGCTGTGTAGGGGAGGTAGTTCTGCCTGGCACCTGCTCCCCTGCCCATGAGGAACCAGAGACCTTGACTCAGGCAGTCGAGATGAACTGCCCCCCACATCCAGCTGTCTCTCTCCCACAACCCGGGGCTTCTGTGGTAAAGACAAGAGCGGCTGAACTGAACTTTCACACCCCCAGTCCCAGGTAGGCCTTGCCTGGTTAGCTCGTAGTGTTACCTCCGTTTTACAGGGATAGCAAGGTACTGACACCGCAGAAGGGATGCCACCCGCCTGGGGCCACACAGAGGGCTAGACTTTGAGGCCATTCTGCCCTTCTCTGCTCGGCAGCAGGGAGGTCAGAAGTGGCAGTGGGTCCTGGGGTGGAGAGGCTGCTGAGCTGCTCCGCCGGTCGGGGTCTCTGCGTTCCCTGGAAGTCCTCCTTCTTCCACCACTTACCGGAGCCTTCATGCTGTCGCTGTCCCTCGGTAGTCTAGGGGCTGCTGTCTCCAGGGCTGGGGCTGGGAAGGGGTGGGAGCCGGGCACCTGCCAAGACCCAGAAACTCTGAGCCGGGAGGGGTAAGGCAGGTGAGGTTCTAGGCTATCGGGGAAACTGAGGCAGGGGAGGGTACAGGCCGGGGTGAAAGCACATAGCGCCCGGGAATCCAACCCCTTGACGTCTCCAAACACCGGAAGGCAATGTCCCCATCCTAAAGGAGCAGGACTCAGCGACCTTTGCGAGACCTCCTGCCAACCCAAGAGGCAGCCAGGGGGCACCCCCAGCTCAAGGTCACCAATCGGGTCTGGGGCAGAGAGAGCCAGAAGCCCGGAATTCCACCCCATCCATCCTACCTCTCTACCCGGGGGACGAATGGAGAGGCCGGGGGAGGGCAGGACGTGGGATTTTCACCGCCCTTCCAGATTCCACTGCCTCATCTCCCGGCCGGGTGCTAACCGGGCGTGGAGGCTGGGGTTCGCAGGAGGCTCGCGATCCGCTGCTCGGAGCTCCATGGCCCCCGGGCCGGGCCGACCGGACTGGAAGCTGATCCGGGCGGCCAGAGGCAGGGGGCGGGGCCGGGGCCGGCGAGGACGGGCGGAGACTCGCGCGCCTGGGGCGGGGCCTGCGCGCCGCAGGCGGATCCTACGAGCGCAGCCTGCGCGACCTGGGGAGGGCTCTGCGCGGCCGGGACGGGGCGGGACGTGAATGGCTGGCGGCGAGGCCTCCAGCTAGGGGCGGGGCCTCAGGACCGGGGGCGGGGCTTCGGAGCCGGGGCGGAGTCTGAGTACCAGCATCTGCCTTTTCTGTCCTCCGCCTTTCCAGCAGGCTCCTGCCTGGGCGAGGCTGTCGGGCCGCAGGGGAAAGAGACCTAGAGTGTGTCGGGGGCCACCGGGCAGTGGCGGCCTGGTTGTCCGGACTTGAATGTCTCCATTTCTGAAATGGTGGTTGGGCAGGGAAATTAAGCGGGGCTTCGGGTCAGGCAGTCCGCGTTTCAACTGGTAGGGTTGCTGGATTTATCAAGTAAGATACAGAATGCCCAGTGACACTGGAAATTCAGACAAACAACGAATACATAAATTATTTTCAATATGATTATTTTATTATTATTATGTCAGTGTGACATTCACCTGAGCCTGTTTTTCTCCTCTGAGACCCACGTGCAGAAGCAGCTCCTGTCACAGCCAAGATTCGAACCCAGGCAGTTTCACTCCAGACCCGGGGCTGTGACCACCTACTCTTACCTCTCAAAGGCTCCCTCGCTGGAATGTCCTCCAAATCCAAGTCAAGTTAGCCCAGGCCCCGGGCAGATGCCGCAGTGTGTCCTATTGGGGTCCCTTGGGATCTCAGAGGCAACTGCCTTCAGGCGCCAGGCTGGTGGCAGAAAGCACTGGGACGGTAGCAGGGGTGGGCCTATGGGGAAGTGAGAGGGCACACTTCCTGTCTAAGTTTTTTTTTTTTTTTTTGAGACAGAGTCTCTGTTGCCCAGGCTGGAGTACAGTGGCACCGTCTTGGCTCATTGCAACCTCCGCCTCTCGGGTTCAAGCAATTTCCAGCTAACTTTTGTATTTTTAGTAGAGACAGGGTTTCACCATGTTGGCCAGGCTGGTATCGAACTCCTGACCTCAAGTGACCTGCCTGCCTCAGCCTCCCAAAGTGCTAGGACTACAGGCGTAAGCCGCCACGCCCGGCCCTTGTTTATGATTTTTTTTTTTTTTTGCAAAATATTGCATTGGCCAGAAAGATCATCTCCCCATCCCCGCCACACCCACCTCCCCTGCAGGGTGCTGGCCTGGGAACCAGCTTGGGCTGCTTCCCTGGTCTCCATTTCAAACTCCTTTTTCCTTTTTCTCAGAGGCTCAGGCCTGGGCTGGATGCCAGGGTATCTGTCCCCAGCTCAGCAACCTTCCCAGTCTACCCTGCTCTAGATTCAAAGCCATATCACCCCTGGGCCTGGTGCTGTAGGACTCAGTGCCTGTCCAGGGGCTGGAAGGAGGGCTGCTGTAGTGGCCCTGCCCCCCAGGGGCCTCCTTTGAGCACAAACTCTCCTGTCTCTGCCACTCCAGCCTGGACACACGTGGGGAGTAGTGGTTCACCCTCAGTCACCATGGCTCCTCACTCACACAAGGCAGTGTGTCCCCAAAGCCAGAGCCCTTCCTTCTCAGTCCTCATTCTTCAAGTTTCTTTGCTCATAGGCCCAATCCTGAGGGCACAATGGTGAGAATTTCCCTATGGATTCACACACTGCCCACAATGGCTGGTGAGATGATGATTCCTTCCCCAGAGAGGCAACTCCACCCTTGCTAGGGCCACATGGAGACAGCAGCATGCCCAAATGGTCCGGGCTCCCAGGGGAGATGAGGATCATAAGACTACAGTGGAACTGTGACCGGGAAGTCCCACAGCCTCAGAGAAACATCTTCACTTTGCTTTTAGCAAAAACCTACTCTGCTTACCACAACCTACAGGATCCTACATGGGGTGAACTCCTTCAGTCAGCCTCCACCGACCCTGGCCACCCTCCACCGACCCTGGCCACCCTCCGACCGCCAATCATACTGAAGCCATTCCTACTGCAGGACCTTTGCACTCACTGTGTCCTCTGCTGGACGGCGCTAGTCATAGAGTGGCTCCTCTTGTCATTCAGCTGAAGCATCACCTCCTCTGAAAAGCCCTTGCCAGCCACCCAGCCGACACTGCACCCCCATCCCTCTTGCCTCACCCCAACTCAGTTTTTCATAGTGGTTGTCACACTCTGAAATTGCCCTGTGTATTAACTGGTTGCCTTGTTTATGGTCCACCTGCCCCACAGACTCTAAGCTCCATGTGGGCCAGGGCACCTCCACACCTGCACAGTGCCCAGCACACACTAGGTGCTAGGTCACGTCTATCAATGCATGAGTTAGGAGAGCCTGGGTCCCATGAGTTCTTGAACAAATCACTTTCCTCTCCAGCCTGAGGTCCCGGCTAGGCTCATGGTCAGAGACCCAAAGGTGGAGAGGGGCTGAGTCATCCTTATGTGTGACAGCAGGACTCTGTGGCACTGACTCAGCCCTGTGGGATCCAGACGGGTGGAAATGTGGAGTCAGACTCTAGTTCCTGTTGCAATTCCCTGCCACCTCTGAGTTTCCCTGGCCCATCACCTCCTGAGTGATGGGCATGACACACTCTATGTCACAACTTCCTGCTAAAGCAAGAACAAGAAATTTCCACTCAGCTCATGCCAGCACAGAGAGGTTGAGAAATCAGGCAAGGTCACCCAGCCAACTAGGAGTGATATCAATATTTAAAGTACATATATTCTGGTGAAGTGCAGTGGTTCATGCCTGTGGGCCCAACACTTTGGGAGGATCAAATTGGGCGAATTGCTGGAGCCCAGGAGTTCAAGATCAGCCTGGGCAATATGGCGAGACCCTGTCTCTGCAGAATAAAATAAAAGTAGCCAGGTGTGATGGCACATGCCTGTAGTCCCAGCTACTTGGGAGGCTGAGGTGGGAGGATCACTTGAGCCCAGGAGGTTGAGGCTGCAGTGAGCTGTAATCCATGCCACTGCACTCAAGCATAGGTGACAGAGGGAGACCCTGTCTCCAAAAAACCCAAAAACCAAATATTCCAGGAACCCTGCAGCCAGAGCTCTCTCTTCCCTCCCGCTTCCCCCTCAGCCATCTTTCTTTTTTTGTTGTTGTTTTGTTTGAGACACAGTCTTGTGTGTTGCCCAGGCTGGAGTGCAGTGGTGCCATCTCGGCTCACGGCAACCTCTGCCTCCTGGGTTCAAGGAATTCTCCTGCCTCAGCCTCCGAAGAAGCTGGGACTACAGGTGCCCGCCACCACACCTGGCTAATGTTTGTATTTTTAGTAGAGACGAGGTTTCACCATGTTGGCCAGGCTGGTTTCAAACTCCTGACCTCAAGTGATCCACCCACCTTGGTCTCCCAAAGTGCTAGGATTACAGGCATGAGCCACCACGCCTCGCCCCTCAGCCATCTTTCTTTGGTGGGATCTGATGGGTCAGTGGAGTGGCAGTGTGCATTGCAGCTGAATGGCTTCCCCGAGGTCCTGCACTGTCCAATCCTGGGGGTCCACTCTTGGCCCACGTGGCCTCCTCCCACTCGGAAATGTTTTCCTTCTCTCACCCCAGGCCCTTGCTGTGCTGTTAACTTGGGACCCTCCTAGGGACGTGTCAGTCTCTTCTCTGGTCTCAGTGGAGAAGTTAAAGCCCTTCCCCCAACACTATCCATCAAATGATCGGGTAGGGGTCCCTTCCCCCAGACTGTGAGTTCCGCGAATTCCATGAAGGCAGAATCTGTGCCACTTGCTTCGTCCCCAGGTCCCCATTACCCAGCAGAGGGCCTGTCACATGGCAGGTGCTCAGCAAATATTTAATGAGTTAATGAGGTCTGTTTCCATTCTTTCGTTTTACAGATTAGACCAGCGAGGCACAGAGAGGTTTAGCACCTTGCCCCAGTCACACAGCCAGGCCCTGGAGCAGCTCTGGAGGAAAGGCCCGCTTGGGCTTGGGCATGGTCAGATTGAACTGGGGTCAGAGGCCAGGCTGGAGTTTCCTGGAGGAAGGAGAAGGAATGATCAGGGGCCATGCAGGCTCCCGGTGATGTCTGTGCAGCCAAGACCTTGGTCTGACCATGGACCCTTGCCCCCATTTCACTGATGAGAAAAGTGCCTTTCAGAGGAGGGCAGAGCTCACTTCAGATCAATAGTAGATGCCGTTCAGAATGCCTCCCAGAGCTCCAGGCAGCCCCTCAGGACCCCAGCTTCCCCCACCTGCATCCCTAGAGTATCGGGCCAGGAGCAGGGAATCGGGAGGCCTGGGTACTCGGGGCTGACCTTGCCACTTACCGGTGCATAAGCCCCTTAAAGTCTCTGGGCCTCAGTTTCCCCATCTGGACGACAAGAGGGCTGCAGCCTTCAGCCTCCCCCCTTGCCCAGATCATGAGGACCAAGCTGCAGGAGCTGGTGGTTAAGAATACAGGCTCCGGAATCCAAAAGTCATGGTTGAGTCCTGGTTCCAGCATTTATTGCTGAATGATCTTGGTCAGTCCCTTCACCCCCTGAGCCTCCATTTCATGGTCTGTAAAAAGAGAATAATAGCATTTTTTTAAGGACTAAATGAGCTAAAGTAGGGGAATCCTTGGCATGACGCTGGGCACGGCACCACCGTCAAACGGGGCTGCGCGGTTACGGTATTAGTTAGGGGATGCTGCCCTCTGGCGACCATCAGGAGGAAGCGCAGGCGAGATGCTCGGGCCCAAGGGAACCGGTGTTCCTGGCGTGAGCCCACCATCCAGATCCGGAAAGTGGGGCCGGGCGCCCGTCACTCTGTGTGCTCCTCCACCCACTGGCAGAGGCGACGGGCGTAGCGAGCCGGGCTGACAGTGGAGAAGGTCCGGCCCGGGTAGCGCAGTGTCTTCCACAGGTGCTCCAGCCGCTTGCGGAGCCCGTAGACCGTGGCGAGATCCACGACGCCCAGGAAATAGCGCTGCTCGGGCCCGTCCAGGATGTGTAGGGCGTTGG